AAATGCCAATAATTCATTTCAGAAGTTATGTTTATCGCAGAATAGGTATATCGCAATAGTCGCACGATAGTTTAATTATAGAACACAATGCACGCGCTGTATACAGTAACATGTTTTTTTTGGTGACGGGGTGGAATATTCTCACCTCAAAAAAAAAGGAAAACTTGACACAAACACTATACCAACCCGTCTAGCCAGCGTGGTATAGTAGGCCAGAACCTCCTTTCTAAGGAGAGGCCTATATTCAGCAGTGGACTATTAAAAGCTGTTGATGATGATGATGATGTGGAATATCCCTTCTGATCTCCGGCTCCTTGGGATATAGGAATGGTGATTCCACTAAAAAACACCCCGACAGCCGGACTCAGGCCCTACTCCGACGAGGACCCGGACCATGTTATTTCAGGTCAGGGCCTATCTCGGGAAGCCTCGGGATTCCCCCGGCTATCGGCCCAATCATTATAATATGATGCCACCCGATCGCATTTTCGCTACCACGACGCCATCCTATAGCCTACCGCAGCAGTTAATCTGCAACCAGAGGTCCCCACTCTCTGGCAGCCTGCGGCCCCGTCGACGGCTGGTATAGCCGCCGACGTCCTCTACGTTCGGGATTGGCCCGATCCCGTGCATCGGTCTCTTTCAGGAGCATTACAGTTTTACAGAAGTAGACCACTGCGCCCCAACCCTCCTCACCCACCAACATGGCAGTAATTATTGCTGGCGGGGACAGGTTTCGTCCGATTTGGTCGACCAGGACTTAGCGCTCAGACGCCCACGCGGGGCAGTCTTCCAGCGTGTGCTGGCATTTTGCCGTCTCCTCGCTTCCAATCCGATTCAGGTACTCGAAGAAGCAGCAATGCCCATTGAGTGCCTGCGTCAGTCGGTAGGTTACGCGGCCTCTCTAGGTGACGCGGTGTATACATTTACCTACTACGCCTCTGCTTATCTCTCTTTGGGATTAGGTGTGAGTGTAGGTATGTTTTATAAAATTAAAGACTTTGTCCATGAACATATAGACTATAGGAAAAGAAGTGACTAATTAGGTACAACGTTTATATTATTACATATAATAGTGCGGCATGTCTTTCAAACGTTAACGTTTCCTAAAGCTTGCAATAGTCTTTTATTCATTTGTATTAAATAGGTATTTAGATATAGGTGACAAATAATTAAAAAGTCTACTCGTATATTATGCCATGTGACTTACAAATATTCTGACAATCTTAATTATGTTAGTTATGTCAGAATGGATTACTTTTCACGTAGTTAGTAGGTATTACACGTTTGCGTAAGGACTTTTCAGCCTTCTCACGGTCGTATTTACCCTGCAATCATATATTGAGAGAACTGTATAGTTTTATTGTACACCGTTATGCCCCTTGTAACTGTCTACCGTGGTAATATGAATTAGTTGAGTTCACACTGCCGAAAACACGCACGCAGCGCAAATGATAATCGGCTCGTAACACGCGGGTTTGCGTTCATTGCCAGACACGTTACGAATGTGTGGGAACAGTTACATAATCGAAATGGAAAAAAGTTTAGTCAATTCTGATATTAAATTTAGATTTTGAATTTAAATTCAATTTGATTTTTAAATTATAATTCGTATTTGTTGTTGTCTAATAATATTTAATGTGTACTTATATTATTGTGATACATTATTTGGGTAAGAAGTAATGGATAAAATATATATTTAAGATCGTTTTGTAAAAACTTATAAATCAATATTATCTGAATATTATTTTAATTAAATTAAATTTAAATTAGAACGAGCTTTGGCATAATAAGTTCAATATTAATTTCCAACTTATATACTATTAATATTTGTTTAATACCCACGATTTATCAGGTTCTATGTGGCAGCATTGTACTGTCATATAATCGAATCTTAGATAGAATCCTAGATGGAAATACGTTTGTGTATAAACTTTACTACACACCTTTAATACACACAACATATGTATTCGGCAAAATGCTTATTACTGGGGCAATTGTACTACACCTTTTTCATTATTTTGTATATGTATATAATATAACGTCGATGTGCCTCTTAATCCCACTTATACAGGTGTAAGTCCCAATTTCTTTCTTAACTTATGTTAGGTACAGATGATATTAACAGTAGGATTAACATTTACTTCTTATACGACACGAGATAGTACAACGAAAACGCACTCTTTAAAAAAACAACCACGAAACATATGAGATCCGTAAGATCTTGACACAATAGCGGAACGGTATGACACAGTGGAGTGAATTAGGGCCGTTTGACATAACGATTATCTCCGAAGCAAATAAAGCTATAATTTGAAGACATTAGCAAGTTTTGAATATAAGGCAGAGGCCATGAATTCACTAATAAGTAGAATGCGGCCCATGTGAACCACAATAATCTGGGACAGTGGTAAGTAAAATTACTGTAGGCTAACCTAAAGCTTATAATTGTTTTTTAATAGAAAAGTTATGGTATTCGTGGTGAAAAATATTTTACCGTAACCGGTAAACGGAAAGTAATTTTAACGTTCGTTATATTTTCTTTAGCACTTAAGGTAATTTCAGTTAAGGCACCACATAGGTACATAATTTTTAATATACACATCAACTCATACTGAGTTACTATAAAATTATTTACAACTAGAACTTTAACAATTTTGCTAAAGTTATGTTTAATCACAGAAACAAATGATTTTTTTTTCTGAATATAATATAATAATATATAATATTTTCACACCATCTCACACAGGGCCGCCTGATCCCAAACTAGGCAGAGCCTGGACTATTTTAACCAGACTGCTGATAAACATACTTATATATTTCTAAATACATACATATTTTACATAAAGTATCTAGACACAGAACAAATGATCGTGATCACCACACAATTATTTGTCTTGGGTGGGAATCGAACCCGCGACCTCTAGCGTAGCATTCAGGGTCATTAACCACTAGACCAATAGGCCAGTCAATATTGCAGTTTTTTGTAGATATGTGATGAATAGAATAGTATTCCAAAACTTCCTTTCTAAAGAGAGGCCTATGTCCAGCAGTGGACTAGTAAAGGCTGTTGATGATGTGACGAACACATATTTTAATAAACTAATCTTTGTGAAATTTTCAATAATTCACTTTAAAAAATATATGAGCTGCTTTAATGTGTCTAAATCATCATAAAGCGCTTGTTGTGAATTGTAATAATTTGAATATTTTCTTTAATTTTTATGATTCGAATCAAGTACAAAAAAATTCGCCAAGAATATTACTTTTTGAAATTGGTTCACAATCATTTCTAAATTTGTAGTTAAATCGGTGTTTAAGAACCTACTGGGCATGTTATGCTTAGTTTGACTTTAGATAGTTCTATGTAAAAAGTTCTAGAATGCTAGGTTTTATATTACAAAGAACAACATACAGCCCATCGAACGCTTCTTGCGATACTTTTCTATTTGTACTAATTTAGCCAAGTTATAAGTGGAACTTGGTGTAAATAATTTCAATAGTAACGTAAAAATGTAGGTGTTCATTCGTTTAAAATAGAGTCAATGTTGTTTTCGAGGTGACCTGCGCATTAACTACCTTTATGAGGTTACCAGGCCATCTGCCGTACTACTCAGACATCCAAGTTAAAGATATTCTGAATATACTATATTAATTCAACCTTTTTTAATTTAATGTAAATTACGTTTTTTTTTATTCTGTTGTGCTATTTGCTTAAGATATTATAATCTTTCTTTCACGTATGTAATGTTGGACAGTTTGAAAATTTAAAAATATTATGTACGCGTTTCTTTATATGTCATGTGATGGAACCCAACCCTGAATGTGTGCCCCTATTTTTTATGTTCTTGGGTTTCGAGGTTATTATATTACAGACCCAACAGCAAATTTTGTTCATCTTATTGAAGTTGAACAAAAGTTGAAGTCTCAGTAGCGATCTACCAATGTGATGTGACTTGTTCTTCACGAAAATTACATTAGAATCAGATCGCGCCGCATAGATCGACATTTATTCCTTATAACCATAGAGACTCCGATGCCGAGTTTTTATATTTAAAGAGGATATAACTAAATATCAATAAACCTGATACTAAAAAGAAGTTCAGACAAATAAATTGAAGTGACAATTGGCCCGTCACAGTTATTTGCAATTTGTGTTGTTTTTATTTTGTGATAAAAGATCACAAATTAACCGTGTTATGTGATGTAATTTATGCTTAAAACTTCATACGTCCTTTGTAGCGCCCGAATTATTATATTTAATCTTAATATCTTGAAGATGGAATTGGAGCGGACTAACAAATTTATTTGTTGCTAATTAAACTAAAACAATAAATTATTAAAATATAGTAAGTTATCATTTAAATCTATTAATACATTTAGTTTTAATTTTAACACCGCACAAATCTTTTGCTAAAATGTTCAGACAATACGAGGGGAAGCTAAGTATGTATTAAAAAGTTTAAACAGTGTTCCCAGATTGTAGAAATTATGTGTTAAGTTTAAGAGCATGTTTCTACGAATTTATTAGGTAAATTGCTTTACTTTTGTGTTTGTTAAAGTTACACTAGCTCGAACTGGGTAGGGCCATATTCCAAGTGTGACTTGTCTTGACAACTGTAAACTATAGTACTTTGTTGGAACTACTCAACAGTAGAAATGCAGCACTACAGTATAGTCCTGTAAGATATAAGAATTATCCTCTCTCTAAATACAGACGTGAAAGCTAGGACCTAGTTACTTATTAGATGATTATTATCGAAAGCTGAAGGTTTTGCTGTCGCCTATTAGGAACTCCTGTGAGCTCTAATGTATGTAACTCATCGATGAATTTGCAGAAAATCTCGTGAGTCTTAACAAACAGTTTTTAAAAGGCAAATAACCACATGGCCTCCAAGCAAGGGACTACTTGTCAACGACAAAACGAAAATATGTGTGAGCCCGACACACAACCTTGGAGGCGGAAATGTGGATGCATAAGGACCAGTGATAAACTAAAAATGATATTAAATAGCTTTCCAGCGGCACCTCCACCTACACCCTTGCCAGCAACTACGTTCCCTGAAGATAAAGCAGGAATTGGAAAATTTAGCGACACAAAGGTAATCAACATGTCAAATCAAATATCTGATTAATTTAATATACAGCACTTCCGATAAAACGTGGACACAATATACAGGATGACGTGAATTCGGGTTTCGGGTCACATTTCTTCATATCATTGTATATTACAAGTGTCAACCACGTTTTTTTTTTGTGCTTAAATCTCCTCGGATACCACTTACCGGTGGCAATGTCGGAGTCGAACCAACTAAAACCCCCGTCTCAGGTACCAGTAGTCGGGAAACCAGGTTACTAGTGGATTAATAATATTCCGTGTGGTGACGGATTAAGAATACGGAATGTCACCACCCCTATTTATCCCGTGGGTGTCGTAAGAGCCGACTAAGGGAGAAAACTAGGCAGAACAACAGCACTGCAGAGAGAAGGAAAACTTGGCACTAACCCTATACCGTCTGGCCAGCGTGGTTTAGTAGACCAAAACCTCCTTTCTAAGGAGAGGCCTATGTCCAGCAGTGGACTATTAAAGGCTGTTGATGATGATGATGATGATAATAATATAAACGTATTATTCTATCAATAATATAAACTGCATCTGAGAATATTTCTCTAACTGCTCAAAATACTTCAATTATGTGTTAGGATGAGTAGAATCATTTCATTAGGTTACATATGTAATTTTCTTCAGTTTTCCTCGGGTTTGGTTTGATTACTTTTGATTAAGACTAATTACCGCTGGAATTACACACAGGTTAAAATTATCTGCTTTAGCTTCTACTCATAATCTGAAAATAAGAATAAAAATAATTGATTCGTAACATATTCGTGATTTTTAAAAGTAATTAAAACTATGTTTTTCACTAAATCCAATATGTTTTTTAACAATAATATAATAATTATTTTTTTCAGTGTACTGATAGCTGTCTAACTGGATATTGCTATTATTCTTCAAGTACGCCGGTCACCTTCTGTGAAGATAAAAAGGTACTTCACTTCACACTGTTAAAATATATAGTAAATAAAGTAGGTAGGTAAAAACATGATAATAATTTGATACGTCTCGTTCGTACGGCGTTCGTACGTTCGGCTTAGTGGTCGATTCGCATAAACTGAATTTATTAGTGTGCGAATCGACACCCCTTTTTTTTTTTTCCGTGCGGAAATCCCCTCGGATACCACCTGTCGGTGGCATGTCGGACTCGAACCGACTAAAACCGCACGCCATCTCGGGTACTAAAAGCCGGGGAACCAGGTATACCCTAGAAAGGAAGTCCCTGGTACCCCGACATACCTCGGGTCATGTACAGACGAGTAGACGACCCCCCCCCCCCCGCTCGCTGCCACCCCGGCCTGCTTCTGCTAGGGTGACAGATGGCCTCACCTGTCACCCCCAGGCCTGCGCTTATGGAGGACGGAGGTCGTTCTGCGACCTCCAGCGCCTGAGTCGCCTGCGGTACCTGGCCCGTTCCCGGGCCTGGCGGGCCGGGAGAGTCCTAAACCTCTCCCGGTCCCGCTCCGCCGTCTCCTTCGCCGAATCGACACCCCTAGGTTAATTTGCAGATTATCTGGTCGAGTACGATAAAGTGGCACCAATTGTTTCAGTTCTTACAATTACTAGATAATCTGCAGACTTCCTAGGTAAGCTGCAAACTAACGGCTTTACGGACTAACATACAGCAGAGTTAAATTTGGTTAGGTTAGGTTAGAACAGTGAGCATTAAAGCGCGAAGGCGAGCGGGCCGCGGCAGCGGCCGCCGAGTACCAGATTTAGATGAGATTATAACTAGTGTCGGATAGAAACAGGTTTTTCAGCCGAAACCGAAACCGAACTTTCGGCTCTTGTTTCAGTTTACTGAAATTTAGTGAATTTTTAGCCTTAATCTAGGTACATATACCTATATACCCATTAAAACCACTGTAATAAGTTAGACACACGGCATCAATTCTAAATGGATGAAAGAGAAAATGTATTTAGGCAGACTAGGGGAGAAAAATAATAATAACGTAGCTAGGTAAATCCTTGAAATTCACCTGTCTAAATTAACTAGTGAAACTCAACAAAACGAAGTTTTATACCTAATAATTGCCTTTGAGATAAAACCATATTAGTTACAAGTAAAAACAAAAGAAATACAAAAGAACAACAGAACTAACAAGATGAGTCAGTCGTGGGAGAGCCATGCCTCGGCACATATGGGCCAGGCTCGACCGGAGTGACACCACGGCCTCACAGAAAACCTGTGTAAAGCAGTTCTTTCGTTGCTTTTCACCGAGTGAGAGAAGTTACCGGAGTCCAAACCCTCCCCTTTTCATGATTCTGGGAGGCGGGACTAAAAGAGCGGCATGCACTGGTGACTTTTAAGTTACAGGTGTCCGTGGGCGGCGTGTCTGCTTGCCCTATACACCATAAAAAAAGATTGCACTGGACGGCGAACTCAGCCAAAGCCGATGTCCACTCGTTAGCCCCGAAGTTAACAGAACAACGCACGACCTTTTACGAACACTGAGTTTCGGTGCGGCCGTAAGTTTCGGCCAATTTTGGCTCAAAAAACCCAAACCAAAACTAGATTTTTTGGCTGAAACTGGCAGAAACCGAAACCGAAACTCGGTCGGTCACTGGTTATAACAGTATGATGTTGCGATCAAAAGTACTATTGACTGATTTTTTTTTTGAAGACATTGATTGTCCATTTCGTTACTTATCAGTTTATTAACAAATGGCAAATGTACATTTTTTCTGAGTATGACCATAAGAAAAGTACCAATGGACGCACTCTTTAAGTATATTATAATTATTTAGCTAATAAATTTAAATTACTCATTACGCCTAAAGGCTAGATTGCAATTATTATGGGGGACCATCCAGCTACAAAATAATTAAAAAAAAACTCAATTGTATGAATCAGTATGTACGAGTATAATATGCAATTGTAAGTTTAGTAGTACTTACAAATTAAATTAAATTACAGTTATAACTGTGGAGGAACGGGTGTCATGTCCCTCCAACACAAAGGGAGGATCCTCCGACCAGGCGAGGTGATCATGCCTGGCGGGCCGCGGCCCCACGGTTGATGTTGGGAAGTAGTATATATGCTAATCGGCGAGGGAATTCTTTATATCGCGATACAGGATTAGCAATTCTTATTTTAGTAGTTACTCCGTAGTTCGGTGTGTCTTCATTAGATGGCGCTGTAGTGTGTTTCTGTTTCTTTGTATGTGGGTGTCGCCACATCACTCCCCTCCAAGACCGGAGGTCGATATATGATGAGTCAGCTGTCTATGCTCTGTTGTGGAGCGTGCCAGTGCCAGTAGTGAGTAGTTCCAGTGAGTCGGAACTGAGTGCCGCTAGTTCCAGTGGGTCGGAACTGAGTGCCGCTAGTTCCAGTGAGTCGGAACTGAAGTCCGCTGATCCCAGTGAGTCGGGATGACGTGCGGTGCGCGGTGCTGCGGTGAAGTCCCCAGTGGGTCGGGGCGGTTGCTGCGTAGTGGCTGGCTGCTGCGTAGACGGGAGAGAAAATGCTCTTCTTACGTGGACCGTAGGTTCAGTGTGCTGTGCCTAGACGCTGATGAGGCCGTAGAGGTAACCAGGCTGGAGCGGTCGCTACCTGCGTGTGGTATCCCTGTAGAGGCCGAGGTTACTGGCTGGCTGAGACTTGATTACTGCTCATCGCTGCGGGAGTTTACACGATGGTGCTGCTGATGATCTGCTCCTTTTGAAGGCTGCTTCCAATCACGTCGGGGTCACCACTGTGGAGGAACGGGTGTCATGTCCCTCCAACACAAAGGGAGGATCCTCCGACCAGGCGAGGTGATCATGCCTGGCGGGCCGCGGCCCCACGGTTGATGTTGGGAAGTAGTATATATGCTAATCGGCGAGGGAATTCTTTATATCGCGATACAGGATTAGCAATTCTTATTTTAGTAGTTACTCCGTAGTTCGGTGTGTCTTCATTAGATGGCGCTGTAGTGTGTTTCTGTTTCTTTGTATGTGGGTGTCGCCACATAACTAAGAACAATCATACATATTTCAAAAAAAATAGTAATATTAAATATTAAATAATAATAGTAATATTGTCAAAATTCGATCGGGCCCTTCCATATTTCGAGCAACGAAAGAAAACAAGTTGTCAAGAACCGTTAATACCAAATTGAAAAAAATAAGCAAGATAGTAATACAAATATTTCTTAAACATAATATAATCTTTGATAATGAATCAAATCTCCATAACAAACAAATTTGTAACAAAAAGTAACTGAAGAACCAACTTAATAAAATAATAATATTATTGATTATAATTAAATAAAAATAAAAATAAATATCGAATTATAATTAAATAAAAAATACCCTAAATGCTTGAGTACTCTGCACAAGTACCCACACAAATAGTAAAATAATAAGTCAATCATATTTTTTTTTTAGTTCAACAGAAATATATTGTTACGTTCGGGAATCAAGCCCATCATTTTCATTGTACCACGATTACACTTCTGTTCCCCTAAATTAATGTAATAAAATTTTAATAGATAATAATTAATTTTTCAAATTAGAGTAACTTCGTAAACTCAGCTTTACAATTTCTCAGTTTTGTAACATAACGCAATATAACTAAACTGAAGACAAAATCTGAGTAATTCTAATCCCGAAAAAAAAATTCTGTTAGTACCACTTATTGGATACACAATAACTGAATTTATTTGTCTATACATTATTATAACTAAGACGTGGGCATAAAATAGTACAATCAATCGTATATGCTTATGGAAATTCAAATCATTTATCACCCTTACAGTATTTTTTTCCAAATGCGAATTCAACACAATGACTCCCGTGTACGGATGAAAACAAAATGACCTCTGTATGTACGGTGAATTATAAAAAGCAGCAATGTTGTCAATACTAGGAAAATTATTTCCCGTCAGTTTTGAACAACTGCGTTCAGAATTATACGCACGTAACTAACACTGAGTAACGAAATGTAATAATTTTGGGACAACATTAATATGAATTTTAATAATTTTATTAAACGTTCTAAACAATAAATCGTCTTACTATTTAAATGATGGACTAAAAGAGACCTAAATGACTACAGTCAATCTTATGTAAGTAGACTAATAGTCGTAACAATTACTCTTTTATTAAGAAAAATCGTTATTGTTACATTAACAAATTGTATGGAAGATATTTTATAAAAAAAATCCCAATGCTATTTATACTATGATTTGAAGAAAATGTTATATTATTTATAAAAAAAAGATCCTATTAAAGACTAAACATAGATGTAAACATGATTAAAAATATGTGCCATAAGATTCAAATTTTAAATCTGCTATGAAAGTAGTGGGACAAAAAAAAGTGCCAAATGTACATTTTTTCATGTACGAATCGCCACCACATTTTTACCAATAACATCGCACCGTAGTACACACCGCATGCAGTCTATACTACACACAGTTTACGCAGTGTTGAACAATTACAGCTAGAGTAATTCGTTAACTCAAGAATCATTTTTTTAAACATTAGTAATCTTTATTTAAAGTAGTAGATATGAGCATAATAAGCGTAGCATCTTAGCACAGCGTTTACGTCAATCGTGATCTAGGTGGTTACCAGTCGTGTTCCGTACCGTCTATCGGCCATCGCTCCTGGCAGTAGGAGGGCTCGGAAGTTGTGTCGTTACTAAAGAATGTCTTGCTTTTGTCTTGTTAGAACGCTGCGGACACGCGGTGACCTGCCCTCTGATTAGCCTCAGGACCCAGGAACTTAGAGCAGAGGCTTTCCGTCCTAAGATGCTTTCTAATGTTTAAATAAATAAATAAGCTCAATCTATAACTACTTTTATTAAAAAAAAATAGCGAAAGTAAAATAGTTTTCTTAGTGTTTTTTATCTAGATTTTATGGATTACCGTAGGGAATATACCAAATGTAATGGCATTAAAATATCACTATATAGAGTATGAGTCTTCATACAACTAGAATTATTATT